TAGCAGTGTTTTCTTTAGCTCAAGCTGAAGACTCATTACCATGTACCCTTTGGATAAAGACTGTCATCACTTGATTTTTAGCCTAATCTTCCATATTACTAGTAATAGATAATGAGAAATTAAGCTTTGTAGAACTAAGCAACTCCTTACATTAAGTATTCATAGCATTCAATAAAAGTCTAAGATCTGAATACTTAATTAAAACTGCAGGTCAGTCTCACTTCAGACTGCACCATTACCATGTACCCTTTGGATAAAGACTGTCATCACTTGATTTTTAGCCTAATCTTCCATATTACTAGTAATAGATAATGAGAAATTAAGCTTTGTAGAACTAAGCAACTCCTTACATTAAGTATTCATAGCATTCAATAAAAGTCTAAGATCTGAATACTTAATTAAAACTGCAGGTCAGTCTCACTTCAGACTGCACCCTCTTAATAAATTTGTGTATAGGGCTGGAGAGATGGCTTAGCAGTTAAGAGCACTGACTGCTCTTGCAGAGGACCTAGGTTCGAATCCCAGCACTCACATGACAACTAACAACTATCTGTAATTCCAATTCCAGGGGATCTGACGCCCTCTTCTGACCTCCGCAGGCATTGCACAACACGGGTGCACCTACCTACATGCAAGCAATACACCCATACACATTAAATAAAAATAAATATTTAAAAAATAAAATAAACTCATGTATCTGGAAAGCATTCCCACACATTGTAAACCAGTTACCATGGAAATACATAAAACACAGGTTTCAGCTGCAATGGTATGATATGCCTAAATGGTGGCTCAAAAACTATCTCCTGTCAGATTAACCAATATCTAAAATGTTTGAAAGAGAGTTCACTTTGAAGTATCTTATCATTACCTTATTTAGAAATATTTTTCATTTGCACATTTATTGAGGGGCTACACATAGACCAGGCAGTACATGAATAGGCAGAGAATAAAGAGAACAAGACTTGGGGCTGGAGAGATGGCTCAGCAGTTAAGAGCACTGACTGCTCTTACAGAGGACCCGGGTTCGAATCCCAGCACCCACATGGCAGTTGACAACCGTCCATAACTCCAGTTCCAGGGGATCTGATGCCCTCTTCTGACCTCCTCAGGCACTGCATGACATGGGTGCACTCACATACATGCAGGTGGTACACTCATACACATAAAATAAAAATAATAAAATATTTTTAAAAAATAAAAAAAGGGGGCAGGGTGTGGTGGCGCACGCCTGTAGTCCCAGCACTTGGGAGGCAGAGGCACGCGTATCTCTGTGAGTTCAAGGCCAGCCTAGTCTACATAGTGAGTTCCAGGCCAGCTGGGGCTACAGGGAGATCTTGTCAAAAATAAATAAATTAATTAATTAAAATTAAAATTTAAAAAAGGGCCGGGCATGGTGGTGCACGCCTTTAATCCCAGCACTTGGGAGGCAGAGGCAGGTGTATCTCTATGAGTTCAAGGCCATCCCAGTCTACACAGTGAGTTCCAGAACAGCTGGGGCTACAGGGAGACCCTGTGTCAAAAAGACCAAAAATAAATAAATAAATAAATAAAATTTCCCAAGACACATCAGACCCGCTAAAGCACAGGTGTACCTGGAGGAACTCGGTGAGGTGCACATCACCTGCTCTAAGGGTATGTCAGGCAGGTACTTACATCACTGAGACTCCTCTCACCCTTGCAGATGCTCCCATTTTAGAAATCAGGAACTAGGAACTAGGGTTTTATCTCAATATGCAAACTAGGATTATACTAGTTTATGAAGACAGATGGACAGTGAAAAGTGAGATGAATGATCAGGTAGTAATTGATGAGGACAAGAAGAACCCAAGCATATGACAAAAGACCATTGGTCAGTCACAAAGAAAAACCATAACAAGAGAAGGAAATCAGGAAAGAGAAATCTGAGAAAGCACAACATGATACAGACACTAAAGAATCTAATGGAGTCTGAGAAAAAAAAGATGGACATAGTATGTTGCAACTATAAATACAGTAACCCAGAGTTGGTAAACAGTCCATCTCCCAAATTCAACAGTATACAGAAAAGACAAAAGATGCTTTATATTCTTATACTTTATTAAAACCCTTTAAAATGATGCCAAATAAGAGAGTTAACCATCACTGACAACTTATTAGGTTCTAGGCATTTTACATGTTAATTAATATAGGTATTGTAGTTGTACCACTTCTTTATAACATATTTGAATTCCCCAATTTGGCAATGAGGGAACTGAGTCGTAACAGAGCATACTTGTGGTATGTAGAGAAACCATGGTACAATGTGGCTTCAAGTCAATCCAGAGCAACTTCAAATTTCAGACACACACACTCACCACTGAAAGATTAAAGAGAAAAGCAGTCCCTGACATTCAGAAATGAGGGCCTTAGTGTTGTTGTAAAGCTTATCTGGCTGTCATAGCCAGACCAAATTGTCCTTCCCTTGAACGTGACAGTTTTATAGAACATCATTATCAGACAAGTCTGTTCCGTACCCATAGAGGATCAAAACAGAAACAGGACAATTCCCTAATCATGTCTAAATGCAGAAAACAACAGGAATACCATCCAAGCCACAAAAATGACTAACATCCTCTTTTTTTTCTATGCCGCTTCTTTACCAATTATAGGATTAACCTCGATCTAGCCTTCTCTCTTTCTAGGTAAGATTTATTCAGAAAACCAATCATAGACTTATACCAGCTTCTGAGTATACCAATACAGAACAAAGACTGACTTCCTTAAACCCACCCCCGCAGTCACCTAACAAAGCTCAATCTAAGTCCTACCCAACATTCATTTCCAATTATTTAACCAACTGGGAATTATCACAATGCCTGACATTGACTTGACTTCTGAGAAAGGAAATAACCTGTGCATAGCTAAAAGCTGTGGGCCTCTCTTCCCTGCCTCTGTTCTACAATATGTTTTCAAAGATCCACAGGTGGGGCCCTGAGCTTTCACTGATTCACCTATAATCCTATGACCAGGATGCCCCACAGCTTTGCGTGTTATGTGGTCTGCCTCCCTGTAAATGAGAAATAAAGCCAGTTTATTCCAATGACAGAACCTGCTGCTCTATAACTGGAAGCACTAACATAGTTTATAAAAAAAAAAAAAAAAAATCAAAAAAAAAGAAGAATGTGGGGGCTGGCGAGATGGCTCAGTGGTTAAGAACACTGGCTGTTCTTG